ATTCCCGAAATTTTCAGTGCCGCCCTCGTAATAAAGAATAAATAAAATAAAAATGCTATCTAATAAATTATAACTTACATCTTAACATTCTAGACCAATATTTAAATATTTCATGACAATGTTTCGTTAAAGTTTGTATAACCGCGTTTCCAGATTTGAGCAGATTACTTCTAAATCTGGCCACACGGTGTGTTATCAAAGCATTTCGCGCCGGCACGCGTGCCTCAGCGAACATTGTAGATGCGCTACAGTACCTCGGAAAACGAAATAATATTCTGAACGTATTGTTATACTGAACCTTAAAAATTCGATAATTTTCTTTTTTACGTAGGCGGGATGATAAGTAACGAGCCACTGCTATTTAAAAAGTTAAAATTAAAAAATATATATGTCATTTTTAAATTCGTATCTCTGGCCACCTGTGTTCTAAATTTGAATTTGATGGCGTGAAAATTTTATTAATTTTTTGTCTTTTGAAAATATATTTCGTCAACTGTTTTCAAAATGGACAAAATTGAACAAAGAGCGGTGATAAAGTTTCTTCATATAAAGGGCATGAAGGGGAAAGATATCGATGACGAGTTAAAGAATGTTATGGGTGAATGTGCTTCTCCTTATGACACAGTAAAAAACTGGGTGGCTGAGTTTAAACGCGGTCGTCCATGTGTCCAAGATGAAGCCCGCCCCGGACGCCCAAAAAGGGTCACGACTCCGGAAATGGTCGTGAAAGTACATGATATGATTTTAGCAGATCGACGATTGAAGTTATCTGAAGTAGCTGACACTACAGGTATTTCAAAAGAACGGGTACATCATATCCTAAGTGAGGAATTAAATATGAAAAAGTTATCGGCCCGTTCGATGCCGCGATTGCTTACGCACGATCAAAAAAGGATTTGGGTGCAAAACTCAAAAGAATTTCTGGACCGTTTTCAGAGTAATAAGGCCGATTTTTTTTACATCGATTTGTAACAACAGATGAAACATGGGTTCATCATTACACGCCAGAATAAAAAATTCAATCAAAACAGTGGACTCAATCAGGATGCCCGGCTGCAAAAAAAGCCATGGCTGTAAAGTCGGCGGGAAAAGTGATGGCTTCCGTCTTTTGGGATGCAGATGGGATCTTGATGATAGATTACCTTCCTAAAGGTCAAACAATTAATGGAGAATACTTCGCTAATCTTCTAGATAAGCTTCATTAGTCCATTCAGCAACAACGACCAGGTTTGGCGAAAAATAATCATCTTCCACCTAGAGAACGCGTGTTCACACATGTTGATTTTCGCCATAGCTTTACTATGGCAAAAATCAACGAATTGAAGTATGATTTGCTGCCCCACCCACCTTATTCGCCTGATCTAGCGTCATCAGACTTCCACTTATTCCCTAAGCTCAAAACTTTTTTGGGCGGACAGAAATTTGCCACAAATGATGAAGTCATAGCCGCTGTAGAGGAGTATTTTAGCAGGCCTCGAAATAAATCATTTTATGGAAGGCATTACTGCTTTAGAACGAAGATGGAATATGTGCGTAGAGGTTCACGGAGACTATGTCGAAAAATAAAATTAATTTTGTCAAGGAAAGTTAAGTGTTTTCTTGTTAGGTTAGGTTAGTAATTTTAGTCCAGAATTGCGGCGTGTAAAGCGATTGACAATAGGTTTTAAATAGTATTTTAGCATCACGCTCGCATAATATGTTAAATTTTCCGTCAATCATATTAGCACGAACGGCACTGGACCTTCTTTACCTATTCAGGTCCTGGTCATCCCAGGTCACTCGACGGTAGGTATGTCCTAAATATCGAAATATCGTCACAAACTTCAAATTTTTGCCGTTCAGGTATAACGGTAGACAAACATCTTTATTATGCGCTCCACACACAGATAAGTCGTGTTTTTCTGCGTATCTCTCACAAATAGAGATTAATATCATTCTTCTTTTATTTTATTACTCATGCAGCCCCGGCGGTGACGTTTTTTTTTAATACTGTTATAAATTTCTCCACTACGTCGATAAAGTTTTACTTAAAAAAAAAAACACAAATATGGCTGTCATTATGCACTCCATACATTTCATATATCTAATTACATCCCCATTAATATCCACTAAAAGAAAATAAATAACTTGTAAATTTTAACAAAAATAACTGCATTACTATGTCTAAAGTCATATTCATACAAATCAAAAAGCCTATATAGGAGATAATGTAAAGTAAGCATAATTTTACCGGGATCATTACTTGTCAAAAAATTAGGAAAATGAGCGTTTTTCGTCGCGTACGTGTTTTGATTTTTAATTTAATACTGTTAGGTTTAAAACTGTGAGGTAATATTTGAAATATACTTTCCTCTAGTTACGAAGAATTTTTTAGGTGACAATATTTCTAGTTAAGACTACTAGAAATCTTATTTACGAAATAAAAAGGCTGGAATTAGGGGCGTGGCTGGTATTAGGGGCATCCACCCTAAATAGCATGTGGAAACGTCCAGCCTGGAACAACACAAAGCTTTATTCAATGAGGAATTCGAAACCGCAGCCCCTTTGTGTAGTCGTACGCTTAGACAGAAAGCCACAGAGCCATCGTTAAAAAGTAAAAACGTAATGCTTAATACCATTAATAAAACTAGTACTCATAAAATTGTCTACTTGTAGACTCAAACGCGTAGTTGAAGTACTTATAAATTTTTATCACATATTACGTTCGCAAATAAAAATATTTATTTAGAGATTTTAGTCAAACCGAGTTAACAAAGTGTTTTATTGTTGCGTGAATAACGTACACAATAACCTTGAACTTAATAGTCAAGAAGTACGTATTACGCATAGCAGGTGTGGCGGTAGTTGTATTCTGTTTGAATTTAAAAATAAGATAGAAAAAAAACTACAGTGATTTAAAAAACAACCCGTTGGTTTATTAGTTAGTTATTTGTTAAGTATAATACTGAAGACTACTTTTTACAAATCAAACGACAAAAAGAAGATATAATTTTTTGTAGTCATCCACCGATCACTAATAAAAAAACTAGATAGGTACACAATCCCATGCAAAAGTTCTCTAAAACTGTCGTCAATTGTTTTGACACAATTCTAGTTGAAATAAATATACATTAATGTAAGTTCAACCTTATATGCATTGCCTAAAGTTGTATTCACAAAACTAAGTACAAATTAAAAGCGCACCCAAATGTTCGAGTGGGCGCTCACTCGGTAAGGACATTTTTTGTCACTGATTATGTATCTATTTTTTTATTAGAGATCGATGTAGTAATCGTATTTTCTAGTTTTTCTTTACTATTTTTTTACATTACGCCGCAATTCTATCGTCAATGTAACATTACATACTTAACATATTTGGTGGGCGCAATATCTGCATTGGTAATGCCCTGCTCTTTGGGACTTCGGCTGGTGCGTCATTTTTAGATGGACTTTCAGGTACTAATTGGTTGTGAAATCCACAGCATCAGTACAGAACACATCGCGTAGAGACGTATTGACAGGAAATAAGTATGTATTAATTTTTTAGATAACTCTTAAGATTTGGATAAGGGAAATGATATTTTTATATCTCAGTCTTTTTGACTCTAACAACGTGGTCTCTACCAAGTTGTAACTACTGAACGTAATTAATATGTAGATCTCTATCTACATATTAATTATGTTCAGTTAAATGGAAATGGGCCGGCCACAAAGCTCGAAGAACCGACAACCAGTGGGGAAAAAAATTTTCTCAAATGGCAACCTCGTACCGGCAGGCTAAGTGTAGGGCGTGACACTAGATGGAGTGACAAACTGGTAACACATGCAGAAAGTCGATGGATGCAGGTTACTCGGGACCGTGCTTTGTGGCACGGCACATCTCGGGCCTGTGTTCAACAGTGGACTTGTGAAAAGCTGTAATGATGATGACGAAGCGGAGCGGTAGAATTCTTCAAAAATCTTAGTCATACTAATCTAACATCTGAAAACCTTCATAGACACGCAAACAACTGCGTGCAACTATCAAATAAAGCAACTCTGAAATTACACTAAAAGAAATAGATATATCTCCTTCATCAGCATACTTTAAAATAAAGACACATATGGTCTACTTCATCAGCAGTAAAAAAAAATCCGCTGCCGGACATAGGCTACCTTTGTATGGAAGATTTGCCTTAATCGTCACGATTAGCAGGTCATTCGTAAATTAGATGGTACACCGCCATCTATCGAAAGCCCTAAGATTGTAATATTGGAAAGGTGTCAATGTGAGAGAGACGGGTTGCTTCTTCTGGGTCTTTAGTAAGATTACTCGTATATGTCGTGTGGGCTGCTCTGTATCACAATATTTTCTGACAGTTCTCATATTGAAGTGACAACTGAACTAACAGTCCACGTGATGGTAAGTGGCTTTTTTATAGGATAGGGTGACGAACGAGCACACAGTCCACCTGATGGTAAGTGGTTGCAGTGACCCATAGACATCCACATTTATCAAAATGCAGATGCGTTGTCACCCGTGAGGACTAAGATGGATTGCCTCTTTTCCAATAAAATGGGTCTCCGGTTCTCTACACTCACCATACGAAACAGCAGTGTTAAGCTGCTATTTTACGCTGGTATTCTGTGAGAGCGTGGTCCTTTCCCGCTCGAGCCGACCCATTCGTGCTACAACTATACTACTAATATAGCTGCAGCATGGCTCTACTACGCATAAAAAACTACTGGCTACTGCAGTATAAACAAAGAAAGCTAAAGATGCTTTGTCACCTCTGAAGACTCAGATGAAATGCCTCAGAGCTTGTAATCATACTGGCTCTATAACTTTCAGACACAGCAGTGAAAATTGTTGGCAGGAATAGGAAGGATAAACTGAAAACAACCTACTAAAAAAATCTACCGAGATGGACATCTTGGTAGAAAAGTAAAGTAAACCTATTAACACTACATCCACGAAATGAGGTGCTGGTATCTATTACGCCGAGCACACACGTGATAAATGTTATGTAAAAAATTATTACTTGTCCTTCCTTGCTCTCAGCGCTCTTATGGGTGACTTGAACAACACTTCCGCTCTGAAAGCGCGCCGTTGGTCGTCTAGTAGCATGAGGCTACAGGGTTTTCGCGCGCGCACCACGAGCAGCCAGTTAGTGCGGAAGACCATCTCGCAGAGCGACACCTCACCGAGTTCTTCTTTGCCTACAGACAGTTGTGGTGTTGGTGTAATTTTATATATTTGATATGTTATTTGTATGACAAATAAAAATAAATAAATAGAACAAAAGCTTTGCACATCTAATTCACAAAATCAAGTTGGGCTTGAGTGATAACGTCAACACAATGCAGGTTAACGCATAAATAAAGATAATAATACATTATTAAATTACAATATTTAATTATTAAATACGTTAATATAACACTCATACAGCATGATACATGAGCGCAAGCACGTATAAAAAGCTTAGTGGTTAGTATACGAGTATGTACCGACCCCGCTAAGACCCATCATAGATTAAGTTCGCAGAAAATAGCAATAATGTTCAAAAGCACAGACATATTACGCGAAAATGTCTACAAAAGAATGTATAAATAATATCTTTATTTGCAAAAGTAGGTAATAGCGGGATATAGGTATTACAGTGTCGTTTAAATAAATATACTTACTGTAGTGCGCTTTCTCAACGAGGGGGTCCACATTGTAAACGCGCAGGCCAGATGTTAGGCAGCAAGTGAAGCAGCCTGGAGTAACATAAGCATGTATGAGTAAATTTTGCTGATGTAACTAAGTTTATTTTCAGTCTAACAAAAAAACAATTATTAGAAGCTGTGCCCGCATTTAATTAATTTATAATTTAAGTACTTGATCATCATTGCAGCTCTCCACAAGTCCACTGCTGAACATAATCCTCCCACAAGGAATGCTACAAATCACGGTCCTGAACTACCTGCATCTGTCAACTTCTTGCATGTCTTACCATGTCATCACTCCACTCCACTTCACTCTCGCTAGTGCCCCCGACTACGCCCTAGACTTCGTCTACCGGTACGAAGCTGCCGCTCGAGAACCTTTCTTCCTCATCGGTTGTTGGTTCTTCGAGCTATATGGCCATTGCAACTTCAGCTGATCAATCCGTTGGTCTATGTCGGTTACTCTGGTTCTACTGCGGATATCCTCACTTTAAGTCTATCACGCGGAGAAACCCCGAGCATAACCTTCTCCATAGCTCGCTGAGCGACCTTGAGCTTCCTCATGCGGCCAGCAGTGAATTACTACGTCTCAGATCCATAAGTCATCACTGGGAACACGCACTGGTTGTACAATCTTGTTTTCAAGTATTGAGGTATACCTGACGAGAAGATGTATCTATCTTCCGAACGCTGCCCAACCGAGTTGAATCCGGCGATTGACCTCTTGATCGAAGTTGGACTTGCCTAGTCGGACTTTTGCCCCAAGTAAACATACCCGTCAACAACTTTAAGCGTAGCGCTCCCACCGGCATAGTTGTGACATGGACGTTACACATGACCTTTGTTTAGTCCCTGTTCATCTTAAGGTCTATCCGTTGGGAGACACTATTGAGGTCATTGAGCATACTGCTTAGGTCCTCCAGCGATTTTGCCAAAGTACTACATCGTCGGGAAACCGAAGGTAAATGTACTCGCCATTGATGTGAATATCGTATCATTTCTAATACAGTAGCTTGAAAACATCTTCTAATGCAGTGGTGAAGTTTCGGGGATATAACGTCACCCTGCCTTACACCTGTCTGCAGTTGAATAGGTTTCTGTTTTGGTTGTTGTTTCTGGTTCTGTACTCGAATAGCCATCGAATCTCTACTGTACAAACACTTCAGCACTTCGATATTTCGACAGTCAACTTGGCACAGCTGAAAGGACTGCAGCACCGCCAAAATTTCGACGGTTCAAAGGCTTTCTTTTAGTCTACATACGCAAGGCATAGTGGTAGATTGTACTCTTCGATCTTCTGCACAATTTGCCGAAGGGTATGTATTTTCAGAAACCGGCTTGTTTGGGAGACTAGAATTCGTCGAGTCGAGACGATTCGTAATGACTCTAAAACGGCACGTAGACGCGGCTCGGAAGGGAAATCGGTTGGTAGTTCTTCAACAGAGCGTTGTCGCCTTTCTTGAAGAACAAGATCACCGCACTTCTGTTCTTCGAAAGTTTTCGGGGCTTTGAGAGATTACTGAACAGTTGCAGTCTAGTAGTCTTTTCATTTTTTGTCGAACCGTCGGGGCCCGACCGGGTCCACTTTCTGTGGGGCCGCTTCTGGAAGAAAGAGATCATCACAAAGAGGCCATCTTTCTCCGTGACGTCAGCCAGCTGCTGGCTCTTGGGTTCCGTGGCCCTATCCCAAATTTCTTTATCTTCGGCTCACCGTTTATATATAGTGGATTTTGGATCAATACATGGCTATAGAGATATGCTCATACATTTCCTCCACCTACTCATCAGGATGTGCCGAGGTTGGTGCGACTTTAAGCGAATACCGTTTGGTGATTGAGTATAACGAGACTTGTGGACAATAAATTCGACTCGTCCTTGAGAGGACGGATGGTCGCCCTCCCTGTGATAGAACAAGTCGCCGAATTTGAGGATTACCGTGTCCTGTCCCTCTATACGGATCTCAGATAATCCTATAATATCCCAGCATATCTTGTCTATCTCTTCTTCCATCTCCAGGATCTTCTCGACAGTCCTCAGGGTACGTGCGTTATGTTGCCAAGTCGAGTCGTCTTAGGTGGCAACCAAACCTCCAGCGGAGATTTTTAGCACCCCCTGCCTCGCCGTTACCATGCTCGCCACCGTAGCCTGGAATAGCGAGGACGTCGAGGACTGGAACTTCTTTATAGCTCTCGCCATGGCAACGGCAGTTTTTTTGTTATTTTGCTCTAATCAGAGAGATGCTGCTGCCCATTTCCTGCCTCAGTTTCCCTCTGCCGCCTCTTACGACACCCACGGGAAGATATAGGGTAATAAATATTCTTACACAGCTACTAGATGGTACACTACACAAGTATTTAGTTATTAAAATGTAAAATAAACATTAAGTTAGTAGCAGATTTTTTAAATAATGTGCATTTTAATTTTTTTTAACTTATTATAAGCCAGTGCTTGACCACAATCCCACTTGGTGGTAAGTGGTGATGTAGCCTTAGATGGTAAATCGCACTGTCTTATCGCAACAAAAGCCTATTCACTCTTGCCTTGAAGACGCCCAGATTGTATTCGGACGGAAAGATGGACGCCGGCAAATTATTCCACTACTTTGCTGTACGCATTACAAAAGACGAAGCAACCGTTTGTTTCTGATGCGTGGAGTATCGACAACAAAGGGATGAAGACCCGCCGACCGCCTGGTTGTCCGATGGTGGAAAGGAGAGGGAGGAATTAAAGCGTTTAATTCCTGCGCACACTCGCCGAAATGCATCCTATAGAATACCGAGAGACTAGCTACTCTGCGCCTGTGCTCGAGCCTGATAAGATTGGTTTCAACCAAATCAAGGTCACCAATGAGCCTCTTAGCACGTCTCTCCACTGAGTCCAATGCTGCCAGGTGGCATTTTGCAGCATCAGCCCATATGTGACAGCAGTACTCCGTGCACGACCAGTCTTGCGCTTTATATAAGGTAAGAAGCTGCCCCAGCGTGAAGTACTGCCGCACCCTTGCAAGGACACCAAGTTTCCTAGCGGCTGCTTTGGCTCTGGACTCAATGAACCGCCCATAGTTTAGGTTCGTAGAAAATTCAATCCCTAACAACTGAAGGCGGTCAGTGTACTCCAAGGATACATTCCGGAAAGTAGGAGCCAAGGTGAGCGGGCTCCTTTTAGCGGTAAAAAGACACGCTTGTGTTTTGGAGGCGTTAAATCTCACGGATTGGCATCGCCCCATTCGGAGACTGCCTGTAGTGTGAGACTCACACGCTCAAATATAGCCTCTCTTTCTGACTGGATTTGATCCCGACTGGCCCGGGTACTTGGTTGGTATCTCTCCACAACTGTGCTGTCGTCTGCATACCCATAGATACCGGGAATGAGCAGATCATTTATATACAGCAGGAAGATAGTTGCGGAGAGAACGGACCCCTGAGGAACACCGGCGTTAGTCACCACAGTACTGAATGAGCAGCCATCGATGACGACCCGGAGAGATTGTTCACTCAAAAAGTCCTTCACCCAGACAATCAAGCCAGGGGATAAGCCGTACGCTGAAAGCTTGCCCAGTAGACTAGCGTGCCAAACCCTGTCAATGGCCTTCGAAACATCGAGGGAAACAGCATGTGCTTCACCACTGTTCCCGAGGACTTCGCCCCATATGTGAGTGGCATACGCTAGAAGATCCCCAGTTGATCGATTTCGGCGAAACCCTTACTGGCGATCACTGAGGAGATCATTTTGCTCTAGGTATGCCATGAGGTAGGCATTCAATATACGCTCCATAATCTTGCAGAGTATGGAGGTAATTGAAATTGGCCGATAGTTGGCAGGGTCGGTACGGCTACCTTTTTTATATCATACATTAGCCATAACAGTTCATTCCAACAAACAGAAACAGAAAATTATATTATTCAACAAAGCATATTTGAATAAAAAAAAATATTTTGTTGAAGTTTTTTTTTTAAAAATAAAGCACGTTTTCTTTATCATATTTTATGCGTTATCATCCGGATTTTAGTTATTCAAAATTTCAATTATCCAGCTCATCGGGAAGTGAGTTTAAAATCAATTACTAATTTCCACCCGGAACGACAGACAGACAGACAAACAAGAGAGTGACTTAACGAAAACGGAAAAATAATAATAACTGAAAATACCAGATTTTAATACTGTGTGACTAGAGAATTGCTGCAATTTAGAAAATTGGCCTTAAAGCCCACCACTGGAGTGGGACATGTATAGGGTGTAAACTTTATATTAGTTAACATTAGTATTATCACTCTGGTTATTGAAAAAGAAACCTACCGTATTTGAAATACTTGAAACTAACCGTATTAACGACTTTGTCGCCATTCATAGTTGAAATTAAAAATAGAAAACAGCATTCACAGCGTTACAAACGCAAGAAAAAAGTTTAAGGTCTTGTTGTATTTATTTAGATTAATAAAGGATTTTTTAATTAAATAAAAAAATTTATAGTATATACAAAAATATAAAGAAAAAATTAATATTTTATTTCAGATTTCACATATTAAAAGATGTTAACATCAATATAAATGTGAAAAGGAAATCACAGTTTGCTCACTTTGGTACAAATGCCATTTGGAAGAAAAGAGAAATTGAAAGATACTTTCTTATTTTAAACAATATTTCTTAAACTTAAACTTGGCCATCTCTTCACATTTATGTTTTTGGTGGAATCATTTGAAATATTATTTGAAATAAGGAATTAATGCTTATCAAAATTTACAGTATGATACCGAAGCATGCAATTATTATTGTTTAATATGATACTGAAATATAACAGGAAAATAAGAATACAGCAGTAATTACTGTAAAAACTGCAGGTTATTCATACTTGTTTATCATTTAAGGATTAAGTGTAACAAAGAACCAAAGAACGTCAAGAATGGTTGTGTGAAATAAAACTGTAACATGTATTTCTACATATTAGAACTTTTTTGTTCATATTTGAAATCAATTCTTATAAGGACTCTTTCAACAAAGTATTGGTAATTAAACACATTTTTACTTAACTACTCAAGAAGGAGTGTAATGTTTTTCTGGTGTATGTATGTACTATGTGACCAAAACAATTAGGTGCATGACACCTAAGACGTCATTAGAACTAGGAGGGAACACCGGGACGGTGATTGGTCACTAGCGGAAGAGCGGGGATAAAGTTTAATTGTTTTGGCCAAGTTGTATGTTTATTTTTTTTGGTATGCTCTGTAGCCTAATATGGCGTGTTGGTAGATTAGTCTAAGTTGTGGAAGTGATATAAGGTATAAATTTTTTCACTTTAAACTATTTTACACAGTAGGGTTTTTCTATTGAACTTGTTTCCGTAATAACTTTAAAACATTTTTTAACCCTTTTGGGTATTATGTTTCAATAGTACATTCTATGATTTTCTTTTTAAAAATTTACTGACTAAAATATCTCGTTTATAAAACAGATTATAAGTTTCAAATATAAAATATATGCATATTTCTTGTAATAACTATTTTTTTATGTAGCATCTTTAGATGGATGGTCCCTGCAATGCTGTTTGTTATAACCGATTTCAATTGTATGTGTTTGTCGGTGTCAAAATTAGGTGAGTATGATATTAAAAGGGGTTTTTTTTTAAAAAAAATACTAGTAATGTTATTAAACATTAGTAATATTCCCTTTAACTACTTCTCGTAAGCTTAAAATGCTTGTGTTAGAAGTGGTTCACGACAGTAGTCGAATGGCGGATTTGTACCCACAACCTGTCAAGTTTGCAGTCCACGCCCTGTCATTAGCCTACTGACACTTATCCATAAATTAATCCATGAATAAGTCCATAAACCACAGTTTCTTATGAAATATTGAAATACCATACAAGTAAGATTACCATACAAGAAAATATTTTTATGTAGCTTTTGTGACTATAATATAAGTTTTATTTCAGTCCTTAAAAACATTAATCTTTTGATTATAAAAAAGCAAATTTAAATTGGGTACCAGTATAGTATTAAATGCACACTCACTATTTCTATACACTTTATAAAAATTAATTTATCGAGAATTGGTTGATGTTTTAACTTTTTTATTATGGTAAAATAATAAAATTTTGATAAAAGAAACAATTTCTTTATATATTTATGGACTACTAATGCCCCAATACTCAAACGGAGCTCAATTTTAAAATGCCGTTAAGACTTGTGCTGTCTCTATCACTTTAAGTCAAAGTGACTGTGACACCACGAGATTTAACTACATCTTAAAATTGAGTAGTGTTTGAGTATTTGACCAGTACAGCAGTAAAAACACATAAAATGCCAATGTTAAACATAATAATGAATCATGGAATTGGTGGTGTTGATTTTTTTGGCCAATTTTGACAAGGAAACTACATTGAACTAGATTAGCCAAGTTAAAAACTAAATAATTGTTTACACTTAACAATTTTTATACAAAGTAATAAAAATAACAGTGTCAGAGGTGGAGGGAAAATTGGCCTCTCTCATTGTTCTTGTCAAGTGGTGAATCTGCCTTTTCATCACATGACAAGCACACTTGAAATGTAGTTAACTATCTGATATAGTGACATGACCTTTGCAAAAACATTGTTAAAGTTCTTTAAATATAGTTACATATTTGTTAACCTAACTGGATCAAAAACACTTCATGCCAAATGCCATAAATATAAATATTTGTTTTAAAAATGTAACAAAACAAAAAAGATATCCCAATTATTTAAGTAGCAATTTCATCTAAACTAAAGGTATTATAATATTAAGCTTTAAATTACACAGCAGTAACAAATTATTAAATAATTTTTATAAGATATACAATAACTTCATTTAATTACCAATTAAATGAATTTTTTAATTACCATGATTTTTTGAAATTAATCCACGAAGAAGTCCATGAACAACAGTTTCTTATGAAATATTTATAGTAATGAATGAATCTTTCTTTATTTTTGCCTATACATGAGATTTTACATGTTTTTCAGTTAAAGAAAGGATTAGAAAATTCATTCTGCTAATATTATTCATACTATTATTCATACATAATAAGCTTTTGTATGCATTTTAAAATGTTGTAATAATATAAATATATCTATAATTTATAAATATCGTGCCAGTTTTATTGCGTCTTTTATTAACGACTACAAAACATCTCAACATGGTCTAACAGAAACAACATCCTAACAAAAATGAAGCGTGGAAGAGTGAACGAAAACATTGCGTAGGTGTACGCCTAAAAATATAAACAACACGTGGAGTGGTGACGAGCGAGCAGCGTGGCGTGTTGGGACTTGCACGCCAAGCCAAACTCAAGTTATATCCATCAGTGGCTCTAATATTGAACGCTGCAAACTGTTAGATTATCAAATCAAAATTACACATTAACCACACAAGAACAAAGAACGCGGGTTGACGGACTAGGAAGTAACTCAAACCTTGATCCTGGTTAAACCCCAGGCTCGTGATACCGCTGCTCCTCCGACGCGCCATGTCTCTCCCACCGTAAATTTATCATAAACATTTAGTCGCTTTTGTATCAATTGTCTCAGTGGACATTTTCACACCGATAATTTAAATACGCACATTTGTTATGTTACATGTTCCCTGTGTGTGATACACAGCTGATTTAATGACTGATGACAGCAAAACATACCTGTGTTGCCATTTTAGTTTATAACTTTTCCAATAATTGTTTTTTTTCCTTGGTACAAGGCCCGTGGAATTAGTACTTTTGCCAGCCTTTAGTAAGTTTACGCTCAATATCAATGTCAATTTTGCAAGCAAATAGCTTGCTTCTTCCGACTTCAAGAAGAAGAATTTGAAATTTTTAATTCGTTCGTATATGAACCAATTTTAATATTTTAAAAATTTTGCTTTTATTAATCAGTTACGTCTTCAATTTGTAATATTCCAAGTCCACTCAAAAGGGTAAAAAAATTAACTTAAAAGAAGTAAAATCCGAGTTAAAAATTTAAAAATATTAAAATAATTTCCACATAATGCGCGGTTTTCCATTCACCGGCTCTGTACCGCCACAGCTGCCGGGGAAGCAAAAATATATAAAATGTATATAATATATAGCATGTTTTTCCACTTACCGGCACCGGCGCCGGCAAGGCGATGACTCCTACCCTTGTCATCACTGGTGCCAGGACAGCAATCTTCCTACTCGGTGCCGGCCGGTAAAACTGAACGTGTATTTTGTACGCATTGCAGCCGTGTGCGTATGCGCGGGCCGAAGTAGAAGGGACGCGTTGAGATTGAGACTCGAAACTGACTTGAGAAATGATGAAATATTCATGCGGAAGTAGTTAAAATATTTTTTAGAGTCCATTTTAAACTTTTAAAATAGGGTGTAATATTATATTTCTTCTAAGTATTTTATTTTTAAGATTGGATGAATTCAAAATTTGACTTGCGTTGATTATATTTTCGTCTTAAATGTAAAAGATGTAACAAACAAATACGACGACTTGACGATACCATTTTTACATGTTGTAGAACTGAAGTTTGTGTTAGTAATGCCCAAAAATCGAGCGTAGACCGGTACCGGAACCAGCGCAGTGGAAAAACGAAGCGCCGTAGCCATAACTGCTTTAATTCTCGATACACTATAGCATAGCTTTGAGTTTTTTACTAACTATAGAGACGAATCTAAGGACCATAGTTTCAATCAGCTGAATCGAATTATTTGGATAACTGATGTTGTATTATACACTCTTTTTGTTAAATTACTTGTGTAGGTAACGAGTACGACAACTTTTTTTATTTGTATTCCATTACTATGCGAATATTTAAACTATTAATAATGATTGTGTACCTAAGCGTTATTACTTTTTAATTACTATTTTTAATATTTATTTAACATCATGATCAAAACAAATTAAAGGACACCTAATCGCGCAAATTAATTTCTCAACATTTCCGTTAGATACTGTAAAAGTAATATTACTTTTGTAATCTAGTGACTATAAGGAATAAATAAACATGCATTTCATGACTGTACGCCACAATTTGCGGTGGGCCCATTCTCTATTAAAAAAGAAATTGTTTCCCTTGTAGGGTATGTCTTCGTGATGTAAATAACCAGTCGTTGATATTCATTTGAGTGAGTGAATAAATTGCCAAGCCTTAAAAATCGCGAATTATGATGGAATAATGGACGTTTATATAGATACTAATGTTTAAATAAATGCTTAAGATTTTACAGATGATAAAGAAATCTAGTAAAATCAAGTGTATTTTTAAATTTAAAAATTCTGATTATTCATATTTTACTCTTGTATTTTATTTATATTGTATATTATTATTTTCTTGCATTGTTATTTTTAAAGTAAATACCGTTTATATGATGCTAAAATGATAATGATACTAAAATTGTAAAAGTGACACTGCTAAATATTACCCTTAAAGTTATAAAGAACGCTTTTATTTTTGATGAAAATTATATTTTAGTAATTTGTATGTGAATTTTAACACTTTTACTGCCCGATTTATACGGCCGAAACAATACGAAGACAATAGCAAAAAACCATATGTGATACACGGGACAGATAAGAATTAAGAATAGGTAATAATTGCCAGCTCATACAAATAAAAATGGCTTTAGAAGTAGTGGCTCGTCGAGGCCGTACCCTCAACATAAAAGTTAAAAAATTACAGCCTATATACTTTCCTCTGCTGGGCACATGCCTCCTCTCATTTCTAAGAGGGTTTTAAAGCAAGGAAATATCCGCCGCGCTGCGGTGTTACAATGCGTGTTGGCAAATTTCACATCTCTTCGAAATATTTTTTTTCAGACATGCAGGTTTTCTCACGATGTTTTCCTTCACTGCCGAGCACGTGGTAAATCAGCACTTAAAATTGCAATTAACAATTTCATTGGTGCCGGCGGCGTGCGAACCCGGGTTGCTCGCGTACTGTGGAATTTACAGAGAGCGCTAACCATCTGAGCTATCACGGCTCATGCCTACTGACAACAGGCACAGTATCAATAGCGAAAACCCGCTAATAACGGTATGTCGCTTGGAAATGTTATATTAATGGGAAAATATTTAAAAATAATTACATATATATCGAAGTAGGTATATTAATTTTAAAATAACATTCATCTAGTGACCCGTTCTGGCTTCTCTTGGGTGGGATCTATTAATGTGGCGTTATTTAGAGTTAAGATAATCATTAAAGACAATTTATTTTATCTCATCAATATTTTTTTTTTTTAAAACTTCATTTTTTTGGATAAGATTTAGTCTTAACAGAAGTGATAACTCTTTGTTTATTCGCGAAGTTTTATTGCAGTCGGTTCAGCCATTCCGCAGATTAGCTCAGACAGACAGACAAACGAAAATTTTAAAAATAGTTACTCATGTCTCAATGGCATGTAAATATTTTATACAAAAATATTAACTGACACAATCAACGATAATTTTGAAGAAAACTCTCAGAACTCGTAGCTCATAAATCAGCAAAACTGGACTGAATTTTTTTGTAGTTTATGGGATTTGTTATTATAGATTCCAATGATAAGATCGCCTGAAGTTATAAAATGTACCGAAAAACGCATACTGCAAAATATTTTTTTGAAGTCTTTATCGGCGGGTTTGAGTATAGACAGCGACAGTGTGCGAGCGAGATATGAATAGAGGCGACGCCATTTTCAATGCCATTCTTTAACTGCACGGGTAGTACCTGTCAGAAATCTATTAAGATATAAACTTGTAACTGCAATATTCTAAGTGTTTAATAATCCAGTTATTCTGACCAATTTGAAAACTATTTCCTATCAAGTTAAAACCTAAAATGAAAAGAAATATGTAAAATTGCAGCTACAAGTTTCAAATTTTTTATATTTTCCGCCATGGCAATTTTGTAATTTTTAATTATATTATTGAACAGTAATTTATGTAGAAATGTAAAATGTAAATCTCAATTTGAAATTCTAATAATTGTATATTTTATAGGCCAGCCCTATATTTATATTTTCAGCCATGGCAATTTTGTAATTTTTAATTATATTATTGAACAGTAATTTATGTAGAAATGTAAAATGTAAATCCCAAGTTGAAATTCTAATTTGTATATTTTATAGGGCTGGCGTATCTCCAAAAATCTTTCTTAACTTAAATCTTAAAATATTTTTTTATCAAATGGTAATACATACTAAAAAATTAAATACTGACTTGTACTGACTGTTCCATTCAAAAAATTACAACGAAAAAATAAAACTTCAAAATGTTTTTATCTTCTCTCTTTGAAGAAATTTTGTTGCAAATCAAATTTTTGGCTTCAAAAGCTGTATTAAATTATGTAGGGTGTCAAATTGCAAAAGTAGTAATAGTAAATCTTAAAAATATTAAAGTGATATCACAGTAATTGTATGTATAAAGTTGAAGTTAGTTTTTATTTGTTGTACAATGTTTAATACTTCGGGCTACATATTTATCTATGTTATTGTTACAGATTTTAGAATAATGGATTCCTTTAGCACTACTACAAATTCAGATTACAATTGGCCATTTCCTAAACCTATTGTAGGGAAGTAAGTTTTAGCATATTCCTATAATCATACTACGATAATGTTATTTATGCGACTCCATACCTTGTCCTAGAATAAAGGTGTAAGAAACGTAAGACTGTTACCTGGTGGTAGCACAGTGGTAGTGTATTGTCTTTCGAAGGAGAAAGTCCAATGTGGTTCGTTAAAGCTGTAAAGCATTTCACAGAGATGTTTTTGGTACGCGAAGCCTGTGAAATTCTTTCAACCTCGGATAGATGGCGATAATTGTCATTTTGGTTACCAGATTTAAAATACTTAGAAAGAGAACAACATTGCCTTTGTTTGGAGAGCAGAGATGTCCAAAATAGTTTATTAAAGGTATTTAAATACAAAATAGGTTTTTCAAATAGAATACCTTATTTCACTGATTGTATCACTAGTATTTGTTTAATAAAGAGTTCATCGTTCATGTTCCGTCGATGTGGCCTCATAATCAAGTGTTAGCAAGGAAGAGTATTTTTGCACTTGGATATGTGTTCAAGGATTCTAAAATATTTTCTCTTTATCTTTTAAATACTGTAGTGTTTCCATGTCTATCGTACTATTGGCATTATCACCGACTGCTGAAGAATCAGAGTCCTCAACAAACATTATATACATAGTATGTTGGTATTGAGAGTTGGATATGAAATATGAATAAAAAAAGTAAACAAAACCATTTTGCATTTTACAAATACTAAATATATACATATATACTTGTACACCAGCGATATATATTTATATATACATACATATATATATGTATATATATAATTTCAAATAAAATAACAAAGTGGAGTGCTAGTGGTTGTGCACTCTCCTTAAATTTCATACTTTGCGAGTACTCGATTATAATTTAGATTTTTTTATAAGTGCTGATTTACCACGTACACGGTGGCACAGTGAAACATCCTTCAGTAAAACATCTCGAGAAATTAAAATATTATGTGAAGATTCAACAGTGGAATATAGCTGTAAATATAGATGTAACCTTTTATTTGCATTCTCTGTAACGTAACGTACCTAACAACTTATAATGCTTATCATCAGCTTTTATGAGTTATGTACAACAATTAACCATTTCAGTATATATGCATGTGTATAGTCATATGACTCTTTGGACAGTGAAATGGTGGAAAGCGGTTCTAAACTTTTTTTTAAATTTTAGACCATGCGAACCGCCAACACCGAATACCGCACCTCGAGTCAGACCAGCACCAGTCGCTCCTTATTGTCACTGCGACGTGCATTCTTATTCACCTCGCGTAGAACAATACAAACAACTGCTAGAAAAAGAACAGAAGCTATGCGATGATTATGAAATACTTCGGAAGCAAGTACGAACTATTATATCTGAATTTTTTTCAACTCCAGGACTAGCGCCGTAGTATCTATCTACATGTGGTCTGACCACTAGGTCATGTTACTTTATAACTAACATTTGTACAGGGTTTTTCATTAAGAGCGATCGAACTTTGAATTGAAATAACCTGTGTAAGTATGATATTGCCTCAATATTTATTTTATTTTAAAGGACTTTCGATGACATTATGTATGAAATATAATTTCATTTAATTTTCGATAGACAGCGGACAGTTGCAGACGATACTATCTCAATAATATATTATAGACGATGGTAATTTGTCCTAGTGTACGGCACTTTAAAAGTGGGCGACACCTAGTCAACTTCTTACTGGGCGCGCACAGTTGCAGCGCCTTCAGTACCCCTCAGTGGTGCAACTGGCCACGCAACACGTATTTGCGTAGCGTAATGTCACGCCTCACACTCAGCTGGCTATACCTGACCACACTGATCACGAACAAAATGGGTTACAACAGCGCGTATAGATATAGACGCCGTACGTCTTTAAATAAAGGAACCGCGTGAATTTATTTCGAATTTTTTCCACTTCTTTTCTTTTCGGATTCAAATACCTTGACTTGGTTTCAAATACCAGACAGCTATGCCTAAAGCCGGTATCCGCTCCAATCTGAATACGAACCGCCTTTATTCATCAGTGTCATTTGTGGTAATTTCCATTAATCAAGAAAATCTTCCCGAAGACATAGACGATCAAAGACGTATGCAGCAGAGGCTTCTCAATCAATTTGGCACAGCTGAAGGGACTGTACACAAAATCAAAGGCTTGCTCATAGTCCACATATGCAAGACAAAGTGGTAGATTATTCTCCTCGGTCTTATGTATAATTTGCCGAAGAGTATGTACATATGTGGTCTATGGTAATAGGGCCTTTTCGGAAACCAGATTGTTTTGGAGGCTGAAAGTCATCAAGTCTGTATGCAAGACGATTTAAAATGTCACTCGAAAATAGCACATAGACGCGATTCAGAAGTGAAATCAGTCCGTAGTTTTTCGATAGGGCGTTGTCGCCTTTGCCGAACAACAATATACCCCACTCTTGCGCTATTCCTAGTGTAATGCTACTATTGAATACTATCTAGAGACTTCAAGCAGGTACCGGTTTTTCACCTACTTTCAGAGACTTTGCCGTAATTCTATCCTTACCCGGTATCTTACCTTTTTGCCGGTGCTGGAGAACCATTCTAATCTCGCAAAGGTAAACAAACGTCCGGTATCTTTACTCACACTTGCGTGTGGCTCCAACGACGATGTGTAAAGCTGTCCGTAGATCCTCTCAATCTCACTCAAAATCTTAGGTGTCTCGGAAATGACGCTGCCACAGTCGGTCTCCAAATTGGACAGTCGGTCTTTCCGGTAAACGGATCATCTCAAAGATTTTGGAGCCTAGGTTATTTTCACTTGGTTATGTATATAATAATTATTTTATGGAAAAAATATTGGATTACGGAGGCCCGTCTGGCTACGTTGAATGTATGTGGAGCAATGAATGATAAGATGGATGAAGTATGCGATATGATGTATGATAGAGGAATAGACGTGTTATATGTAAATGAGACTCTATACCCTATTGTGAAAGTCAGAATGTGTCCAAAAAGGCACGTATGGCAATTCACAATGCTGTGTTAGTCCCTACTTTAATGTATGGTAGTGAAAGTTGGGTGTGGCAGAAGAAGCACGAGAGTAGAATAAATGCTGTAGAAATGCGATCATTAAGGAGTAGGTTAGGGATGAATCTGAATGACAGAGTGAGAAATTGTGTGATAAGAGAAGAGTGTGGCTTGCAAAATGATGTTGTGACCAGGATTAAGAAGGGATTGCTTCGTTGGTTTGGTCATGTAGAAAGAATGAATGAGGAAAGAGTGACAAAGCAAATTTATGTTGCAGAGGTGAACGGCAGAGTCGGGAAGGGACGCCCTAGGCGAAAGTTTATCGACCAAATTGGCGATATATTGAAAATGGGCCAAATCAAGGGTACCTTTAACCGACGAGTGTGTATGCGTAGGTATATGGATGTTGAGGAAGCGAGAGAGGTGTGTCAGGATCGTGCCAAATGGAAGTCCATAGTCTCTGCCTACCCCTCTGGGTAACAGGCGTAAGTGTTTATATTATATTATATTATAAGGAAAAAGTAAAACATGTCAATCAGTAGTAGATATAGATTGTATCGCAAAAATTTTGCGAAGTTTGATCACGGCGGCCAGTCTCAACGGAGACTAGCCATCGGCTCAGGACAGGATTATAGTGCCCAAGCGTATGCGCAGGCACAGGTGCACTCTCTATTCCCTCACTCTCATAGTCCCATGGGACGGTAAAGCGACATGACCGGAGAGAGATCAGGCGCAGGACCAACGGCTTTACGTGCTTTCCGAGGCACGGGGGTGAGACATCGCCAACTTCCTCACTCCGGGCAGCTACTGAGAATTTCTTGATGGAAAACCCAATAACTGATTTTTTTGGCCCGACTCTTGATTCGAACCCGGGACCTCATGATCAGCAGTCGCACTACTACAACCACTAGATCAACGAGACAGTCATTTGATATTACAGTGTATATTTCAGGGTAAATTACAGCGTATATTACAGCGTAAACAGAGTATTTGATATTACAGCTTTTTTATTTAGTGAATATTTGAAAGCTGGAAACCCTTTTCACTTTTAACGAAGCATTGCATTTTAGTTCTCGGGTGTAACAACGAATCTAAAATGATTCTTGTAGGAGAGAGATGGAGCTGTTCATAGGCCTCAGAACCTCAGATATCATTTACTATTAGATTTACTGTGTGTTCATTCATCGTTACGTATATGAAAAGCATTTCATCTTTTTAATGTTATGATTTTTTTTTAGATGGTAAACGTCACTAATGACATATTAGATCATCCATGCGACGATCTGGATACGAAAATGCAAACCTTGTACCAGGCCACATTTAAGAAGAGATGTGAGTTTGAATAATTATTTAACGCTAAAAAGTAGAAACACAGAGTAATTTACTAAATATTTTCTTCCGTAGATAATGATTTGGTTGCGTTTAGTTGCCAGGGTCACAGATTACTTAATAGTTTGGAGGTAATCTATGATAGTTTACTACCAGGGTTGACAACTCAAAAAGCTAACAATAAGAATTGAACTTACAAGTTACTATAATGAAAAAAATTTAAATTTTATCGCGTTACAAACATATTTCATCAATTTAAGTTTGACAAAATTAGTTTGACTTTCACATCGATATATATATATATATGTACTACGAGTACGCCCTAGATTTCACATTCCGAACATTGACTATGTTCAACTGAACTGTACTGCAATTCGTACACTAAACTAAATATTGCGTAAATTGAAGATTTGTGAATTCTTATAATTATTATTACATTTTATTTAGAAATATGTTTGTTTAGATTAAAATAAGAGTATTTTATATTAAATTCTTAGATTTATTTTATATTAAAATCTTATTTTATATTAAGTTAGTCTTCGTGCATGCGCGACTCTAATATCCCGCGCATGCGCGAAGACATAGAGTAGCGCACAATTTTTGTTTGGAATAGCTTCTCTAGTACGTAGTACATATAACTCAATGGGCTTCCATAAATTGATAATGTAGCCTTGTAGTGGTAATGTGTCAGCGTAAGTGAATCCATTATTCATTTTCTTGCGGTTGTCGTGAAAGGTTACTAAAGAAAATGCTAGAAAGATCTAATGGCTTCCTATTTAAGTTACCGTTACAGCCTATTAAAGTTCACTGCTGAACATAGGCCTCCTCCATAGATTGCCTCATAGGAGTGATATTTGCCATAGTTGCCACGCTTGGCAAGCTGGTTGGCAACCGCAGTTATTTTTATTTTTTGTCGTTATAAGTAAAACGCTGCTGCCCATCTTTTCATTTGTTTTCATCTGCCGCCTCTTACGACACTCACGGAACAATATGAGGTAGTGGATATACTGACACCGCCACTCCACGGTCAATAACAGTTTACGAAGGAAAGGACTCCTACCAAACCTCAAACAATTCCTTTTCTTTTACAGCGTTCCCAGTAGCAGAGTACAGAAAAATAATGGCAGCCACACAGTCAAATGCACCCATACCCACGGAAAGTCACCGACTCGGCATGCTGCGGTGTTATAAAGACCCAACTCACTTCACCGAAAAGCCTCCTACAGTCCGGCCAACCATTAATCCTCCTGGTCCAGTTCATACTGGAGTCACTCCCAAAACGCTGCAAGTCTGGTTTGGGGAGTATCCTGGTAGGACAGAGTATATGGACACATATAGTGCTACGGCGAAGGCTTGTTGGCGGTCTATGCAGAGATATAAGGAGCCTTTGCCTTCAACAAGGAGGAGAGCTGACGATGCTTGCGTATAGTGATGTTTATGTTATGTGCATTTTGGAAAGTAATTTGTATTGATAATTGAAACTATTCAGGCTCTTTTCTACGGTTATTTTGTAATCACACAAATGTAAATGTTCCTTCTATAATGAATTTTGTATTTCAAATAAAAAATCACTATAATTTCTCCAAAGGTGAAGATAAAAAGAGAAACTCCTTGTTTCATTTGATTTTATTTAATAGTCGGGCGTTACTTTCCGAAAATCCTATATACAAAGATTTGGGTGTATGAAGAAGTTATATTGGAAATCGATTATAGATCCAAAAGGTGGAAGAGCTTCTTTTCTGCCCAGGAACCCGTCTTGGTAGATACCGTCCTACATATTTCTATCGTCAAGAAGGAGTGCGTGCAGTGCGGTGTTTCAGACAACGGTATAGAGTGCCAGCATATTTACAGTCTGTGAGAAACTCCTTTTTAGTCATCAGTGTTCACTATTTGCAGTTGATTACCGTTGTCCACGGGCTGCAGTAGGAACAGTATATTTTGTTTGTCACTATAATTAAAAATAAGTATATAGGATTTTATCGAAGCTGTGTATCATCATTGTTTCTACCTCATCCTTATTAGCTCGTAAACAATACACTGCTGCATATGGCCCCGTTCCTTAGTAGAGACAATCAACCTGCTGTATTTAAGTATTTGTATGTATCTTCGAGCGTAAACGTTCAGCCGATAAACGGTTAAGCAGGTTGTCGAAATCACAAAACTCAGCTCATAATAAAATCTTTTTTTTGCACAGAGTAAAAACAAACTATTACCTAAATCCATAGATAAAATTAACTCTTTATTACAGTTGTAGAATATTTTATGAACAAATTGATGTTTGAAAGAAAATTAGCGCCATTCCATATCAGTTGTCATGCTGCGTCCTTGCTCGCTAGAAAGTGATGATCTGTAAAATTGAAAATATAAGTAGGCCGTTATTCACAAAAATCTATGTCTATTTAATATATGCTTAGAGTTGCTCTTCTCTCTCTTTTTACTAAATGTCAATAGAAACAGACGATTTTAAGTAAGGTCATAGTATCGGAAACAAAAACAATCAAAAATAAACAAAACTATTGATTGATTATTAGATTCAATTAGGGAAATAATATTTTTTAACGAAAATGATAAATCGTATAGTTTAATTTGTAGAAAAAAATGTTACAGTATTTCAATAAATTGTCGTTTTTTTTATTAAATACTAGCTGCTCTCCGCGGCTTCGCCCGCGTGGAATATATTACGATTTGTTACGATATATTTTAATATTTTTTCTGATATAAAAGTTACTCCTTATAACATCAGCTATATAGTAGTGGAAAATAATTTGAGCGCGTTGTGACATAACCATCCGCAATAGCCCGCTCGCGGGTTCTAGTTAAATGAGCCCGCCCTACATATACAGGTAGCCTTAGAAATAACGTCTTTCGGTGCGGCCATGGCGGCAGCGTTCGCGTGGGGCGCGCACTATAGGTAATGGGCATTATAACATATTATTATATTATTATTGTACTTAGTGTTTACATTGGATTATGTTATATGTATATTATATATTATTATTATATTTCCCTTCATTAATTACCTTTGAATTGGACTTTGTTTACAATTTCAAGGGTTTTAATTTTTTTTCGCGGAACCCTAATTCGTTTTCTAAAATGAAAGTAGCCTAAGTTACTCCTTATAACATCAGCAATCTACCAGTGAAAGTCCCGACAAAAACGGTCCAGCCGTTTCGGAGATTAGCCGGAACAAACAGACAGACAGACAGACAAAAATTTTAAAAATGTCTTTTTTTGTTATAAGTACCGTATATACATTCCTATGCATTAATTAAAAAGCTGTTATTTTGATATTACAAAAAGACACTCCAATTTTATTTATTTGTATAGATGTGGCAATGGAGTTAACAATCCACCCGTTGTTTACTACTGCAAATATTAATCTTATCTATGATTAATCCATGAACGAACGACGTAGAATGATGATTAAGAAATTCCTCACAGCCCGTGTTACTTATTTTTTAGTCTTTTACGCATCAAACTGGAACACTACAGTGAGTGCCTTTTTGCTTGTCTGCACAAATATCATTTCTAAAATTAGCATGGTTTTAACCCAGTTGAACTCGTAGGCAAAAAATAATCCTCAACCATGTAGTAATGTACATAAATCATAAACGTAATTATTAAACTTAAAAATTTGTAAATGTTGGTTTCGAGTAGTTGTTGATCACCGTTACCGTTACATCCTATTAAGGTCCATTGCTTAACATAGGCCTCTCCCATAGATTGCCTCATAGGGAGGATATTTGCCATAGTTGCCACGCTCGGTAAGCGGGTCGGCAAACGCAGTTTTGTACGCCTTACAACGCGAGGGAGTGCTTTACACTCGATACTACAGACATTGAATTTAAGATTAGTTTATTTTCTAATTGATTCACTTTAGATTACATAACAAAAATGTAATTGAAAAAATATAAGGACTGCCGTCCGTTGGTCTGTCCGTCGGTGAGTCTTCTCGCTTAATAGAAATGTAAGCAATAGATTGAGATATTAAATAAGATTCCATATATTGTAAGGAGGATCCCAATTGATATTTGTTATTGAACTCAACACCGTTTAAAAGTTATTAATGAAAGTCTTTTTTTTATAGGATAAGGGTGACAAACGAGCACACAGTCCACCTGATGGTAAGTGGTTCCTGCGGCCCATAGACATCTACATCTATCCTCTATTACAAATCAAAATGTAGATGCGTTGTCACCCGTGAGGACTAAAATGGAATGCCTCATTTCCAGTAAAAAGGGCCTCCGGCCACCTGCACTCACCAAGCGAAACGCAGAGGTAAACCTCTACTTCACGCTGGTTTTCTGTGAGATCGTGGTACCAAGTCGATTAGATTCACTGTTTTTTTTTCTTGTAAACATTATCGTCACTATTTTTTTTATTCTATATTAAATGAAACGCTCATGAGGCGTGCTCTTTTGAATTTTCCAAAGTATTTCTATTTTCATTATTCGGAAATAGAAATAGTATCTGGCTGCCCATCTCCTGATTTGTCGAACCGGCGGCCCCCAGCGCAACAACTCATCGCTAAGCCACTGCGCCACGGAGCCGGATTATGGGAGAGGGCCATATCTAATAATGCACTATTTACGGACCGATGATCATAAATAGTATTAATAGGAAATTTGGTTAGTTTTGTAGTCATTGGTGTGATTGAGATCATATTTACACAATATATTTTTTGTCGAGGCTATGATTCATCTACGCTCGATCCGATAGGTGATGATTTTTAAATTGATTACTAGCAATTTGTATATTAATCGATCAAATAGATTTATATTCACAATATATGTTGGTTCACAATCACTTTTGCCTAGACCAAACTAGTTAAGCCTAAAGTGTTTAGGCCAAACTAGATTGTCCCCAGTACAATCTAGTTTGGCCTAAACACTAACACTTAAATTAGTATATCCTGCTACGCGTAGGATAAACCGATTTGGCCTAGGACAAACTAGGTTGGCCTGAAATCGGATTTGCCCGCTAACATACACAATACAATATACAACATTGATGTCTTTTTGGCCGATTTTGGCGGTTTCGGAACGGCGACACTTTCCTTATACTGTCTTTCTTCTTTGCTTTCCTAACTATCAAAGGCACCCATACGCTACTAACCCACCTCTTTGTTCGGAACTAACAATTAATGTCCTTGTACTGTAATTAGCCGTGGTTGCTTAGGAGATATATAAGTGCTCGTGTAAAAATTATATAGCACGCTAGCAAACCAAGTTCGATTCCCACCGGCACTAACAAAATAGTTAATTAGTATTTTAAGTGCCAATTAACCACGTAATTGGTGCTAAAGGGAAATACTGTGAGTAAGCTGCATTGCGTGAAAACCCAACACCATAATACTAGGAAACATATCATCGTTAATAATAATAATACAACACGAGTTTTGCTTCTTAACAAGGCAGCACCAGGAGAAATATAATATAATTATTTTTTACGTGGTAGAGCCACGCTGCAGCTATATTATGGTTGTACCACGAATAGGTCGGCTCGACTGGGGTAGCAGACTGGGGGGTACTAGCAGCTTAATGCTGCTGTGTTTCGTATGGTGAGTGTAGAGAACCGGAGACCCTTTTTACTGGAAACAAGGCATTCCATCTTAGTCTTCAGGGCTGTCAAGGCATTGGCATTTTGATTCTTAATCGAGGATAAATGTAGATGTCTATGGGCCAAAGTATTCACTTACCGTCGGGTGGACTGTGTTCTCGTTTGTCACAATATACTATAAAAAAAATGATGTAAATCTTTAATTACGAAGTTTAAGTAAAATACGTACTTAAATAGCGTCACGCTTGTAACCCCCGAAGCAAAGTCCAAAGCGCTACTAGCACCTAGTTTGCTAAAATATAAGCTTAGATGAAAAATTGTGAATGAAGCAATAGATGGCTAGACCATTACAAATTTAATATCCCATTAGTCGTCTTTTACTACACTTTAGTCAAGTTACACAGTTGGCACATTCTTTTGGTTATAAGTCCCAGAAAAACATGGACATATAAGTCTAAACTTACACGGGACAAGACAATAAGTAAAACTTACCTAAATAAACCAGTTATTACATTCCATAAAACTGGTACCAAATAGGGAGTATAATTGTCCAGAATAAACGTCAAAAAGCCCATTGTCAACTGCAATAAATTTAGAATGAACGATATCGCTGGACGTCTTTGTGGCACTGGTATTATATTTGTCATTTTCTTTAATATCCGTAAGAATGATACTCGTATTTCTCCAATACCGTCTTTTATAGAATTTTCGTGTGATGTGCTTAGTGCACTATCTTCTAGTGACGTAAATATTCCGCCAGGTTCTTCTGGCGCGTGGTGATCTCGTAATTTTCTTACAGATTGTATTGTACAAGCTTTTATTAACGTTGTTTCCCAAACTCCGATAATATATAGTATTAAAATAAAATTC